ACCCAAATGTTCATAAACAAGACCACAATGAAGCTACCAGCACGACTATGTTTATTGCAGCCTTATTTACCATAGCTAAGATATGGAACCAACCCAGATGCCCCTCAGTAGATGAGTGGATCAAGAAAATGTGGTATATATACACAATGGAATTCTATGCCTCCATCAGAAAGAATGACATTGCCCCATTTGTTAGGAAATGGAAAAGCTTGGAAAAAATTATATTAAGTGAAGTAAGCCAGGCCCAAAGAAACATAGGTCCCATGGTTTCCCTTATTTGCAATGTCTAGTATATGTCTGAGTCACGCAGAAACGGTCAGATAAGTTGATGTTAGGGAAATGAACCCTAAGATATGTATTCAAATGTTGTTTTCTTTCATGTGATTGTTTCTAACACAATGATAAGCTGATTTCTTTGTTGCTTTGTATGTCCCTCCCCCATGGTATAACCCCTGCTTTCACTGTATTTGATGATGTTATAACTTGTGGAGGGGAAGGGCAAAAACAAATTGTTTAAATAGGGATACAGGTGGAGCCATGGCAACCATGAGACATACAAGTCGTTATGGCAAAAAGGAGCTTTACAACTTTGGTGGGGGGGCAGGTGGGTTGGGGGGGGAATGGGATGGGAAGGGGAAACAAAGGAGGAGGATACAATGCTTGATGAGAAATGTACTCATTGTCTTGCTCATGTAATTGTAACCCCTCTGTACAGTATTTTCACAATAAAAAAGTAAATTAAAAAAAAGAAATAGTTTTATTGTTCAAGGTCACTAAGTTCATAAGCTATGTAGATTAAGACAATGATGACTATCATTATGAAGATAATCATATAAACTTGTCTAGCGGGGGGAAGTAGTGAAAGTCAGAGATTACCTGATGCCCAACTTTCTCATCAGAGAAAAATAAGGTACAATCAGACAGCCCTGTGCAGCAGCAGGAGGTTAGGGTAGTCATAAACATTTGAACAGGAGCTCTGTGAATTATTCCCTCCACAGAGTTTGCCTTTTGGCTCTATCTGCTAACTTCTAAAGAAAACAGAACTCTCATATACATATCTAAAGATTGTTATTTTCATCTGGATTCATTCCTGTTTTACTCTCCTTTTACTTAACTATAGTTTTCTTCCCCTGTATATTTGATATAAGCCATTTACAATTTAGCTCTTAATTTTAAGTATACTTCTCTACTTAAGTAAACTCTATCTACTCCTCTACTTCTCTACTTCTCTCCTTCCTTTTCTCCAAGATCATCACACCACATCCCCTTTCTAGAATCTCTTCCTACCTGTCTACAGGTAGGAATGTTTTACAATATTTATTCTTCTATTCTCTCATCCCTAATCTTTCCTCATCACACATGCTTGCTTTAGGTGAACCAGAGATTCTGTTCCATCGGCTTCCAAGTCTGCTTTTATGCTAGCAGCATAAACCTGTGGCTTTTTAGTACAGAAGTCAGATATTGCACTACTTCCAACATTGCTCTTTGACTATAGAGAACCTTTAAAGTCTGCATAAATTTTAGGATTTTGTTTTCTATTCCTATGAAGAATGAATAGCATTGAATATTTAATAAGGAATATAATGTATCTATCCATCACTTTCAGTAATATAGACATTTTCAAAATATTAGTTCTGCTAATCCATAGAAATGGGAAGTCTTTCCATCTTCTAGAAATCTTCAATTTTTCTTTTATTATAGTTTTTATTTTTTATAATTTTCTTACAATTTTATCACTTCCAATTTCATTTTCACTATAATTTTTTTTATTTTTCTTATAACTTTATTTTCTTTATTTGTACAAAGGGGTTACATTTCAACATGTCAGTTTATAAGTGAAATACATCTTAACCAATGTTACCTCTTTCATCATTCTCCCTCACTTCTCCCAACTCCATTCATCCTTTCAATTTTCCTAGTTCAATTTTACATATATACAGTGAATATTATAACTGCATTGGCCACCTTTCCTTTCTTCATTCATCCATCTCTCTCCTCTTGCCTTCATTACCCCTTAAGCACTAGCTTCTTGGTATTCATTTTACTAGAATGTTTTTCATAGGAGTTACACTATTGGAATTTTCTCCTGTATATACCATAGTTTTGTGTACGTGTGTCTATGCAGATGTTTGAAATTTCTCAGGTTTATTCCTAGTGCTTTTTATCTTTTATGATGATCTTTATAGTATTCTAAGTATCAGATCATGTTCTCTTCAAATAAGGATTAGTTGATTTCCTTTCCAGTTTCTATCCATTTTATTTCTTTCATTCATTCTATTACTCTGGCTAAGAATTCAAGCACTATTTTGAATAAGTATGCAGAGGCTATACAAACAACTGTTGTGTCATTCCTGGGTTTAAAAGAAATGCTTTAAGTTTTTTTTCCAATTTAATACACACATTATTGGTTATCTGTTATAAATAGCCTTAATTATGTTGTGGTACATTCCTCTATTCCTGGATTCTTCAGGGCTTTTTATCATAAAGGCATGTTACATTTTTCAGTCTTTTTCTGAATCTAAGCAGCTGATCATGTGATGTTTATTTTTGATTCTATTTATGTGCTCTAATATGCTTATTGACTTACACATGTTGAGCAATCTTCACATCCCTGGAATGAAACAACTTGATCATGGTGTATGATCTCATTATTGTATTATTGAACTTAGATTATGAGTTTTGTTTGGTTTTGTTTTGTTTATTTTGTCAGTCACTGGGGCCTGAACTCTGGGCCTGGGCACTGTCCCTGAGCTCTTCAGCTCAAGGCAAGCACTCTACCACTTGAGCCACAGTGCCATTTCCAGCTTTTTCTGCTTATGTGGTGCTGAGGAATCAAACCTAGGGCCTCATGCATGCAAGGCAAGCACTCTACCACTGAGCCACCTTCCCAGCCCCTAGATTATGAGTTTTTTGTTGAGAATTTTGGCATGTATATTAACAAAGAAAGTGTTCTATACTTTTCTTTGTACTGTGTCATTATCCCATTTGGGTATAGAATAATATTGACTTCAGAGAAAAAGTCTCCTTTTCAGAGAAGAGATTCCTTCTCTTCTTTCAAGCTCATAATGATCTAAGTATGATGGTGCACACTTGTAATCCCAGTTACTCAAGGGACAGAGGTAGGAGAATGGCATAAGTGGTAGTGAGACCCTAATTTTACTTCCACTATCACATACACACAGGAAGTTCATTACTTTATACAATTAATATTCAGTATAAAATGGAATCATAAAAATAAAAATATGAAGGTGTTATAGACTTTAGCAGTGAATCCACTTAATTATAGTCTTCTTTTTTTAGAATATTGCTATTACAGACATTATTATTGCTGACAACATTATACTTATTATTATTATTGTCTTGTTAAAGTTGTTTGCACCCTTCTCAGTTCAATTTTGTTAGGTCAAATGTGTCTAGAAATGAATACATTGTATTCTATAGTTTCTAATTATTAGAACACATTTTCAAATATTTTTTATTTTCCTCCGGATTTTATTGATGTCTTTTGTAATATTCCCCTCGTTTCATTTCTGATTTTTATTAATTTAGTTTTTTCTCTCTCTTTTGGCTAGTTTGCCTAAGGGATTGTCAATCTGGTTTAATCTTATCAAAGAACAAATACTTTGAGATTGTATTGTTCTATAGTCTCCATTCACTTATGTCTTCAATTTTTTAATTTTTTTCATCTACTAACTTTAGGTACTTTCTAAGATATGAGGGTACATAACAATGAAAATTAATAGCTATAATTATATATATTAAAATAATTATGACAGTGATCAAAATGTGGCTAAAATTATAGAATGCCTGCTGAACAAACTTTAAGTCACTGAGTTAAAACTCCTGTATTACCGAACAAAATTAGATCATAACAGTATATTAACTGACACCAAATGCATACATATTCAATTTGTCTAACTAAGATTATCCAGAGAGTCAATACAATGGGTCATGAAACAAGTGTCAACAAATTTTAAAGGATCAAAATCAGAGGAATATAGCTAACTTTGAATAAATAATGGAAGGATCACTTAAATAGTATTTTCTTTTTTTAAAATAAATACTGGACAGAGGGGTTACAGTTACAGGTAATGAGTACATTTCCTATGGAGCATTATTACCCCCTCCTTTGTTTTTTCCCTACCATCCCTTCTCTCCCACCCCCCCCAAAGTTGTAAAGTTCATTTTCAATATAGTGTCTTGTACATCTCATGTTACAATGGGTTAACAATGGGATTACAAGTGTGCACCATCATACTCAGATCATTATGACCTCGATAGAAGAGAAGGAAACTCTTCTCTGTAAAGGAGACTTTTTCTTCTGAAGTCAATATTATTTTATACCCAAATGGGATAATGACACAGTATAAAGCAAAGTATAGATCAATTTCTTTTTTGAACATACATACCAAAATTCTCAATAAAATACTCATAAACTAAGTTCAATAATACAATAAAGAAATCATATACCTTGTTTCAGCATTTTTAAGCACTATTTTCTTGAGAATAGTAGTTTACTGAAATTGCTTTTGAATCTTACAATAATTTAAGTTTAAAAGCATATTCTTCCTGAAATCAAAGAGTATTTGCGGTTTACTTTGTTTATGATCTTTTACAGTCAATCTATTAGTTGAGATTTGTTTAAATAGTGTTTGAAAAGAGGAAATGAGTATCTGCAACACATTGGAATTTCCCAGAAGGCCATGAAGTCAATTTAGACAACAAAAAGAATTAGTCTAACTTCCTAGGAATTACAAAGTTAGATCATATAACTATATGGCCTTAAAGATATTTTAGAGGCAAAGAAGAAGGTTTGTCATGGCATGTAGATATGGAAGACCAAGTCAGAAGAGAAGAAACATCAGATGTTATGCTCATGAAAATATAGGAAAGATAAATGGCTGAATGGAGTAAAATGTGACATTAGGTCCAGCTGTGTATGAATATTATAGTCACATACAATATATAATACATTGTTATCAACACATATTGGCTCTTACCCTGCAATCTTGGGTGCAGCATTCTCCTGAGCCACATACTGCCGTAGGTTTTAAGGTACAATCTGCAGGATTACAGCAGCTTTTATGTGAACAGTTCTGTAAAAAAAAATGTTATTTAATTGCATCTAATTACATACCATCATATGAAGATGCAAGATACTCACAAATCTAAGCTTTCTCTTAATAACTTCAATAATCCCATTTTACATGAGATTTACAGAAGTCAGTATTCCTTTTAGTAGTTCATTTCTCCTTCATACCATATACTTAAAGATAACAAGTAGAACAAATTGTTTTCTATATTTGAGCTATGTACACTACAGTGTAATTACTAAGAAACTTGAACTTATACTTCCATTTTTAATGATTTTCTATCAGCACACACTAGCTGTACAAGAGGGTGGGATTCTTTGTGATATTCCATACATGTATAAAATATAGCTAATTAACTTCATCCATCTATCCCCCTCTCTTACTTCATTCTTTCTAAAACAATTTTAACAGGTTTCATTGTCCTATTTTCAAATATGATAACAAACTTCTCCGACCTTTTTTTTTATTTGCCCTTTCTGTTAGTCAGCCCTTCCCGCTCTAGATAATACCACTGCCCCAACAAAGTCTGTTTTATTTCCTTATTATTCTTTAGTGGGTTTTAATTATACCAAAGGCTTTCTATCATACATTTGAACATGACTATAGTATACTATAATAACTCTCTCTTTTGCTTTCTTCATCTCCCAACTCCATATTGATCAACAGATTTCGATTGATATTCCTTATACCATCTTCATATGTAGCTGTGATATATTTCAAAATTACGCACCTTCTATTTTTCTTTTTCCCTCTTGCTCTTTGCCCTCCCAAATATCCAAACAGTCCTATAGTTAGAATCATGTATGTATATATATATATATATATATATATACACATATATTACACATATGTGGAACAACGTAAATTCTATCAGCATATATTTAAGTAAACAATAAAGTATCAGTAAATCTAGGGACTCCAGGAATTATTCACCAGCACACCCAAAATTACAAACTATATCCATCCATGAATCACCACAACCAAGATATCAATCAATTCCATTGTGGAAACACTTTAGTAAACACTTTAGCAAACCACTGGCCCACTTTAAATATTAATTTCTATTTTCTTGAATTTCAAATTAACAAAATCAATCTATAAAACCTCGTGAAAATTATTTCTTTCAACCAGCATAATCTTTTTAAAAGCTCACCCATGATGATATAACTACCTGAATTTAATTCATTTTTATTGCAATTATTTTCCAATGAATATAATGCCATGATTTGTTTGTCTGTTCACATAATCATAAAATGGATTGCTCAGCTGCCATGAAGAAAGGAACTGAACAATCACACACACAATTTTTTTGAGGATATGTGTTTTTATATCTTCAGAGAAAGCTACATCAAACAGTCAAACACTTTTAACTTCATAAGACATTGTCAAAATGTTTTTCATTTGTCAGTTCTTTCTCCTATTTGTTGAGGTCGTGGAACTCTACACAGGAAGTTCCTGCCTATGCCAGTAAATTCTAGTGTTTTTCCTCCTCATTCCATTAATAGTTAGTTTCAAAGTATAAGGTGACAAACAGAGATAAAGTTTCAGTCTTTTGCATAATGTCTAGTTTTCCGAGCACCATTTGTTAAAGAGGCTGTTTTTTCCAACATCTTTTTTTTGGTGTTTTTGTCAAATAGCAGGCAGATATAGATAGATAGATTAGATAGATAGATAGATAGATAGATAGATAGATAGATAGATAGATAGATAGATAGATAGATCGATAGATAGATAGATCGATAGATAGATAGATAGATAGATAGATAGATAGATAGATAGATAGATAGATAGATAGATAGATAGATAGATAGATAGATAGATAGATAGATAGATA